TTTTTTTTTTTTTTTTTTTTTTTTTTTTTTTTTTTTTTTTTTTTTTTTTGGTTTTTGTTATATGTCTATTTGTATGTTTGTTGGCTGTCTGCCCAACATCAAGTGCTCACTGATGACGAACATAGACGATAGGTAAAAATTGGTTTTCGTTTCTTCCCCACAGTTTCGGCTACTCCAAACACCTCTTGAGTGCAGTGAGTGGGCGCCAAGAACTGGGTTAACTTTTATGTGTTATTCTTGTGTTTCGAACTTTAATGCCCCCTCTTGAATGGGGAACGAGGGTATATGAATGAATATACACATGAACGATACGGCTCATACATTAGACAATAGGCAAATGTCATCAACTTTGCACTTAAGATTGCACATGTAGGTATCATACAGACTGTTTTTTTTAGAAAGTAAGGTGTGTTTTTTAGTTTCTTGAAGTTCAAGTAAAATCAATAAGTTATAAATATGTATCTGTATGTACATATAACATATAGACCTATCCTATTTGTATGTGTCTGGCGATGGGTTTTTGCTGCGTTGCAGCTAATGCAAATTATACCCTAATGAGCGGCAGCGCCACAGGAAACTCGGCAACACTTGCGGCATTCAGATTAGTGTTTAGAACGGCAGACGACCCATTCTCCCTGCGCCTGGTCAAGTGGCCCAAACACAGACATTCATACTTTAGGTGCATGTTGCAATAAAAAAGAAATAACAGCAACGGCAACAGCAGCAGCAAAAGCAACTGCAAGTGCATTGAGTACCATGCCTCCAAGTGCTGAGAGAAGCCACAAGCACAAACACACACGCATACATACACAACATACATGTTCATACATACATATATGTAGGCGCGTATGGCAACAGCAAAGACGACTACGTAAGTGATGCACAGTGGAGCAAGCGAATAGAACTTTAATTAAGTTATTATTGGCTATATTGCAAGGGTTGGCTAGAGTTTTTAGTGTTGTTGCATTAATGAAATAAAAATTGCATTTATTATACAAAAGTATATGAATATATATGGATAATGCAATTTTAGCTTGATAATACTAAAGCTTTCATATAAAACTAAGTAGAATTTAAAATTGAAATGAACAATAATTTTTGTTCGGTTGATAACAATTTGGAAGCACTGTGCCTTGTCTATTTTGGTTTGTTCGCTACCGGACGGAAATGTGTCTTCTACTATTTCCATTTGTGTCCCCTTCCATTCAGTCGCCAGTTGGCGGCTTGTTTTCCGTTTTACCTTTTACATGGCCGGGCTAAGCAAATATATTTATGGGCATATACCGTTAACGCAAAGGCCGCTAACCGTTTAATGCTAAATTGACTGCAAAGTGTGGCCAGTCTAGTAATATTATTATTACATACAAATGTCTTTCTGCATAGAAATATATATACATATGTACGTATGTGTGCATTGTATGTATATTTCAATGTTTGAATGCATGCATGTAAATGTCGTTTTATTTGCTGCGCTTTAGCACGTTTTGCTTGTTCTCGTTGTTATTTTAGTTGTTTGCATTGCTGGCGCTTCTCACTACACGTGCATCTGGGGTGGGGGGTTGCTGGTGAAGATGGAGACGGTGCTGGTGGCGCCCTGTATATAGGCTTGTTGACATTTTTTTTTAATTTTTTTAGGGGTGCATACATTATGAATGCAGTTTATTTTTACACCAAAATGGAAATGGAACAGCAGCAGCGACTGCAGTTAATCGCATATAATCCAAACCGAAAAAAAACATTGGAGCAGCTTTCCTGACACTCACGCACACATACACAGGCAGTTGTAATGTTGGAAAAATCAATCCACATGTGTGCATGTGTTTGTGTGTGTGTGAACGCCTGGTTAGGTGTTGCCAAACAGCTGCATGTTGTTCGCTGCTCGACGCATATTGGAATTTGATGCAGCGCTTGCAGTTTTAATGAATGAAACTTTAAGCAATAACAAAAACTCACAGGTATGTGTATTTCAACACCCTGTACGCGACGTCGCAACGTCACTTTCCAAACGTGCAGCGCTTGGAGCCTCTGTATGTAATTGTACGCAGGTACCTCCTTATATATATATGTATATATACTTCTTTTTTTGTATGTTTTCAAGCTCACTTCAACACTTCATTGCACATTCGCTAATCATTTATGTTGCTGTTCGCGACGCGTCTTTTCACGTTTTCACTTATAGTTGTAGTTTCTTGATTTAAATGGCCGACTGCAAAGAATACCGTAGCGGCTGCAGGCGATGCAAACCCAGACCGAACAATTGTATATGCACTTGCAGTGTTATATGACCGTGTTAATGTTTAACTTTAATGCGCGCGATTTTGACGCTTAATTGTAATATAAAAGCTTACATTTTATTTTAAAAACGTTTCTTGTAATAAATACAAAAAACATGACACATGTAAATAGTGTGACCGTAACCAGTTGGCAACAAAATACCCCATAAAAGTGCGCTTTATAACATACAAGAGCAACCCTTAATATACTTTATAGTGCTAACAACAACTAATATCACATTTGAAAATAGCTGATACTTGTTTTAATATAATTTAATTTATAATGAAGAGCTACTCGTGATGTAAATGGATCAAATGTAATATTTGCCAATAAGCGTTGCTACGCAAGTAAACAAGTTCAAACAGCTGCTATGCGGACTTAACATAAACTGTAATAGCTCTGTTACAAGAATGTTGTCTTTTCGATTTTATACAACAATCGATAAGTATAATATAATAACTGATAATTTGAACTTTCATTGTAATAACAAAAATTTTACATTGCACTTTTCTTTAAATTGTTAAAAAACATAATTACATAGAGATATATCAAAAAAGTCTCCCACTAAATCAAATGGATATATTTGATTGTCTATTGATTCAACGATGTTATAAATTATTAAAAATATAATACAAATATATAAAAATATAATTTTGATAATTTTACATATAATAATGCTACAAATAGTTCAAATGGCTAAATTAAATTTCTAAAAACTGTTTGATTAATATGTTTTAATACGACGATCACCGCTCCCTACCTCTTTAATTTGAATTCGTTCACAACCCCTAATTGTTATGGCTTGGACTTTGGACTAGTCCTTCTATTTACACAAAACGTCAGTTGAAAGCACTTTGGATGACACTTCTGACCAATCATAGAGCACAACAATAATTGTTTACAAATTGTTAACGCGCCCGTGTTAGTCCGTGGCAATGATTGTCACTTTTGACATGCTACGCCCCCCTTTCTGGGTAGCTTCCAGCTTATCCTGTGTAGCTGCTTAATATAAATAAAAAAAATCCTCGAATCATGTTCGAGTGAAGTGTCTTTGATTTGCATATCATTTGTGCTCGCCTAACTATATCCAGCCATATAAAACTGCCAATAACATGGCCAACCTGACACAGTCGATTCGCAGTAGCTGCCTTGTTCATGTCCCTTGTAACGCTATATAATGCCTGCCAAGTGTGCGGCGATCAGAGCTCTGGCAAGCATTATGGAGTCTCGTGCTGCGACGGCTGTTCCTGCTTCTTCAAGCGCAGCGTAAGGAAAGGTAGTCACTATGCCTGCATTGCCGTTAAGGGCAACTGTGTGGTGGACAAGGCGCGTCGTAACTGGTGTCCCTCGTGCCGCTTTCAGCGCTGCCTTGCCGTGGGCATGAATATCGCGGCCGTGCAGGAGGAGCGTGGTCCGCGAAGTCAACAGGCGCAGAGCAGTCAACGTCTATTGGCTCAGACGCCTCCAGCGCCGCCGTCGCCACCTGCTCCGACGGTGCACTTTCAGATTCTCGCCCAGATACTGGTCACATGTCTACGCCAAGCAAAGCTCAACGAACAGTTTCGGCTGGTGGCACGCGCCCAGCAGGATGCTATTCTGCAGGTGGTTTGGAGCGAGTGCTTCATATTGCGTGCCTCGCACTGGTCCTTGGATATCAGTGCTATGATCGAGAGCTGTGGTGATATGCAACTCAAGCTGATGCTATCGGAGGCTCAACAATTGCGAGCCGATCTCATGGAGCTAAACTTTTTGGAAACTTTAATTTTGTGTCGTAAAGGTGTGTTTGAAATTTACATCTTAAGGAGTATCTATTGTTTATCGTAATCATATTCTTTCTAGAATTAGCTTTAAATGCCGACTATGCGCTGATCTTAGAGACGTACTCAAATGGTGCCCTTTGCTCCTTGGCTCGCTACACTCTGCATAGATCTCACTGGCTGCGCTTTGGTCAGCTACTGCTCGGGTTACGTCAACTGAGTCTTCAGCGATATGACTGTGCCCTCTCTTGTATGTTCCGTAACGTTGTTCGTGATATATTGAAAACACTTTAAACTCCAAAAAATAATTACACATATTGCAAAGAAAAAAAACAAAAAAAACAAATATAATGTAATCAAAATTCATTTTAAATTATTAAGAACAAATATTTATGAATAAAAAAAATAATCGAAATTATTTACTTTAAAATGTGCGCGGCATTAACAGCTGCTTCGTGTGTGTTCCATTTCCATTCGTTCTACAGCGCAACATTGAGACAATGAAACACCAGTTTTCACTGTGCCAGTGTGGCCGAAATACGCAAGGCGATATAATGCTAAATAAATGGTTGTAGTCTATCAAACAGTGTTTACCTGAGTTAAGCGTTCGGCATTCGGTGCATTTATTAATTAAATAGACTCGTGGCCGCGCTCAAAACCTAACACAAACATGGCAGATGACACTAATGAGGATAGCTGGTTGTATGGCACATCGAATACAGACTCAACGACCAACGAAGTATCAAACGGCAGCGATGCATTGGCGGCGGAGCACGAGGCTCTTGCCGCAGTGACCGGCGAGAAGCCTGGAGCTGGTTGCCCGTTGCCCGCCTTTCCCAAAGAGGAGCTGCTCGAGTATGCCGACTTTGAGGATCCCGCCAAGGAAATGGAAGAAGATGAAGAAGCGTTGCCGGACACAATGGCTAGCGATGCGCGAAAAGCAGAGCCCAGCGGCAGCAGCTTAGACGATGGCGGCTCACAAGGGGAAGACACTGATATGACGGAGTTGACGGCTGGTGCATCTGGACCAGCATCAAGAAAAGAGCGCAATGGCTCTGGTTCCGATGATGATGACGATGACGACTCAGATGATGATATCAATGTTGTCATTGGCGACATCAAGTCGGCGCCTAGCACCTACAATATCAAGCAGCGACCAAATTTGCTGGCAGGCACCACAGCGGCGGACAAAGCCAAGCCCACGGCGCAGGCCGGCAAGTTTAGCATCGAAGACTTCGAGGGCGCTGGGACCATTAACGGCGTGGCCGTGCATGAATTTAGCATTGACTCGCTGGAGGAGAAGCCCTGGCGCAAGCCCGGTGCTGATATTACCGATTACTTCAACTATGGTTTCAATGAGGAAACGTGGCGTGCGTATTGTGAGCGCCAGAAACGGTTTCGTGTGGCCGAGAGCGGCGTCGGCCTGGCGAGTCTTACTCAAAATGTGAATCAGAGCGCCACGGCGATGGCCATGCCGGAAGGTGGCAGCACGGCCAATATGAACGTTCCCATGGGAATGGGCGGACCCATGCACCATCACCAGCCCATAGTGGGGCTTGGCGACGGACCCATGCAAATGCCGCCACCAGGCATGCCGCCCATGTTGCAGCATCAGCCGCGCCCAGGCATGGGCATGATGGCGCGACCGCCGCGTCCCATATCCACCACGGGAGGCGTCAAAGAGAATGCGATACAGGTGATGACGGCAGAATGTCGTGAGTATTCGCGCGGAGGTCTAGGACCGATGGCACCCAATTTTCCACCACCGGGTGCTTCCGATGAGCCCTTCTTCCATGAGCCGGAACCGTTCGACTATGGCTATGAGCCCACTCAGGAATCACAGTGGGGCAACGATAATCCCGGCTGGGTGCCCACTGGCATTAAGGAGCTAACGCCTGGACCTGCTCACCATCCGTCTCAGCAGCAGCAGCCGCCCCAATTGGGCGGGCCAGCTGGAATGCCGCCACAAATGAATGTACCACCACCCCAGATGAGCGGACCGCCACCGCAGCTACGGGGACAGCATGCGCCGCCGGGCATGATGCCACCCAACATGCGAATGCCACACATGGGTAAGCGTTGCACTATCATCCGAAGAAACTTAACGCGAAAACTATATGTATATTTCAATATTTCTTCTCAATTTAGGTATGGGTCCACCACCTGGTATGCTGCGCATGCCGCCCAATCTGAGTAAGTGCACACAAATATGGCTTCTTTGTATCCCATTTTATCATTGCACCTTTTACTTACAGACATGGGCTCCCAGAGGATGCCTATGGGGGGCAATGCCGGCAACGGCAGCACCACCAATATGCCATCGTCATCAGATCGCAGAACGGATGGCTACGAGGATGACCGTGATAGGCGGCGGCGTGAAAAGGACAAGCAGCTAAAGAAAGAACAGGTAAGATTTGATTGAGTGACTCATTTTAACAATTCAATTAAATAAAACACACTTAACCCTATACTATACATATTTATGAATTCTTGTATTAATTAATTGGGATTATTTATTTTTAGCTACGCAAAGATTTTCTGGACATGTTACGTGAGCGGCACGATATCGAGCGTCATACGCGTTGGTATGATATAAAGAAAAAATTCGAAGCTGATCCACGTTACCGGGCACTGGATTCGGCATATCGCGAGGAGTACTTTGAGGATTACTTGCACATACTCAAGGAGGAGAAGCGTAAGGAGCGTGAGCATAAGGAGCGCGATAGGGAGCGAAGCAATCGTGAAAAGGCGCGCTCGCGTGATAAGGACAAAGACAAGGAGAAGGACAAGGACAAAGACAAAGAGAAGGACAAGGATAAAGATAAGGACAAGGACAAAGAAAAAGAAAGCTCGAGACGTGAGGGACGCTCGCGATCACGCGACAAATCCAGTCGCCGAAAATCCAAATCACGCGAAAAAGATCGCAGCGAGCGCAGCAGCAAACAAAGCAGCTCAACAAGTTCCGGTTCGTCCAGTCGAAACGATAAGAAGAAATCACATCGTAAAGAGAAAGAAGAGGAGGAATAGCATTTATTTAGGTACTATATGGAAGACGAGCAGGCCGCTCTTTGAGTTGCCACACACTAAAAAACAAACAGAACACAAAAAAAAAAAAAAAAAAAAAAAAAAAAAAAAAAAAAAAA